TCACGGCGCTGCTACTATGAGACCTCAAGGGAAATGACATGATAACTGCAGTTGCCAATAGACCATGAAGCAACAAACCAGAAAAAAGTGTTCATATTCTACGACTTCAACGGAATAGTACTTGTTTTGGATAACTGATCATGTAGACGTTTCTATTAATACTGTTATGGCATATAAGTCAATGTTTGCATTGAATCGCTGATTTTTCTTCATGGACAACACCATATCATTCTTACCCATAATCTAGAGTATATACAAACATTCCAGCATAAGCAATATTCAGCCTGATGAGTAAACTGAATAGATGCAGAGAGATTGGAAGAATCCAACCTCATACACAAGTCAATAAAGATATTCTCGGACAGTCATGCAGCGTTGGAAGCTCTTGGCTCCTTCCGAGCAACATCTAAATTGGTAGCAAACTGTCAAACACGACTCTCCTCGTAAGGAAGATTCAACAGATTGTCTCTGGTCTGGATTCCTGGCCATACTGGCCTGGAAGGCAATGAGGCTGCTGACTCCCTTGCAAAGGAGGGTGCTGCAAGCAGCTTCATCGGACCAGAACCTGTCATTGGCATCGCTTCAGGCTTTGCCAAACAAGAATCGAACACCTGGATGGCAAGAAGATTTATGGACTTCTGGCAGAATCTTCCAGGATTGGCTTACTCCAGGGCGTTTATTCACCCTTCGAAGCTTGATACCAAACAGTTCTTGGACTACAGTAGGGATGAACTACGATGTCTAACAGGCCTTCTTACAGGTCACTGTCATTTGAATCATCATATGCAGAAACTTGTACTGTCGAAAGACAGTTTTCATCGCCTCTGTTCGGAAAATGATGAAACAGCAGAGCATATACTTTGTGCCTACCACGCTGGGGACCAAATCAGGTTTTTAGAGTTCGGCAGACCCGTACTTTCACCATCTAACCTGAAAGACCACTCACCATACAAACTAATCGGCTTCGTTAAGAAACTGGGTTTAATTGGCGAATAGGTGTGAGCCACAATAAACCCTTGCGGGTTGCGGTGCAATAGACCCACTCACTTCAGACCTAACCTAACCTAAATTGAATAGATTCGTACTAACGTTGTAACAATATCGAAGAACTCCTCCCGAAGATACCTGCCTAACTGTGTACGGCAACGATTATATGTTTCTATATTTTCTATAATTTTAATTATATGTTTAAACACTGCCCCCTTTGTGTCAAAAATTTCTGAATTCAGATCTACACAGTTATTTTACTAATTATAATATTTTCACTTGGGGTCACGAATCATTACACATGCGTCATCAATAAACTACGAAATAAAACACATACTTTTATGTGGCATCTTTTTTTTTCACAACTGAAAAACGAAACAACACAGTTAATTTTTACGTTCATTTAACGAACCCTTTTACTGTATGCATCGAAGAAAGATAGCTATACAAACATGAGTTGAAATTCAAATGATGACGAATTACTACAGTTTGACATTTCGATTTTTTTATTGAAAAGTTTTACAGTTTGAACTGTTTGATATTGTCTGCATAACGAATACTACGGGTGTTTCACGTCTCATTAAGTAATGTTTATACAGTAATTATAAATTCAAAATCAAATTAGGAATGTATTTGTTTAACGTTCCGCATACTGGAATTTTCAGCTTCTTACATATCTGAGTGGGAATATGTATATAGAACGTAATGTATGAAATGCTAATAATTTTTATGAAATGTAGATAACGTTAGTTACAAATAAAAGTGGTATAAAAACATAGGAAGTTTTAATTCTCATTTTTCATGACGATCTCCTATAACGTGGAACGGCTACACTCATCTGTCTATTAAAATTATTCGTATTGATTTTGTATTTTTGTTGTCTCAGTGCATTATGAGTTTTATTAATCGAAATTCTCATATTCATAAATATTCCTTGACATTTTTGGGTTTATTGGAGACAGTCAAGGCCAGCTGGTCTTCATTCCAGTTTATTGTCAATGATAAATTCCATAGAGGTCTCATGCTCTTGCATAGAGCATGATAATTATAACATGCCTTGTTAATATAAACAGAAAAAGTTTACCTTAGGATAATTATTAACGAATATGTTTCAATTTACCGATTTGTAATAATTCTGAAAACAATTTTATTTGTGAAAATCATTTTTTCTCATTGATCATGAAACGAGAACTTCGTTAATTCGTTCATTAAAAATGGACTTTGATCGGTTCCCTGTGGTATTTTTTTAATATCTACTTCATTTCTCCCATCTCACGTTCCCAAACCCGTTATGAAATTACGTAACAGACGAGTTGAGATTTATATCTAGTGTCATAAAATGCATGTGAAGGTTAATGCATGAAATATTATATTATGATATATCTATGAGTACATATCTCTAAAAATAGGGTTGCTCTCATTTACCAATTCCATTTGTTAAACGAAGTCTAAAATCAGATTAATAAAACGATTGTTTGATCAAGATCAATTCTATCCAAAGTATTATTTCATTATGAATCACTTTTTTCCTATCTTGAGTACCTACCTGGAATTGAAAAAAATCCCGAATCAGCGGACAAATTTGGAAACAACTTAATGTTTATTGATAATAATTAAGAAGACACCACTCTGATAACTCCATGTAAATTATTAAAAACTCCCTTAGGGAAATTATTTGCATTAGTAGTTTTCGGAAGGTTGTTTGAGAATGTTGTTGATTGTTTTTTTCGGGTATGAAACGAAATATGTTGGTAGTAACGGCTCCTGTTTTCATTGTATCTCCAATTTCATACGGTGGCGTGACTGTCTCGCTTATTTTTTGTAGTACCTAATTAGTCCACCGTTAAGTTGGTCCTTAGGGTGTCATGGATTGAAAACGCTACCAATCAATTCCTGAGGTAGTAGCACTTCATTGTGAGATTTACACTACAGTCTACAAAACCACAACACGTGTTTTGCTATACAATAGCTTCTTCAGGCATGTTCAGTTGTATATAACAGATTTCAACAGATCGACCAATTCCAGGGCCCACTTTGAATGCGAATTCCAGTACTGTGAGTTGGATTTTCAAATAGCCAGGTTTTGCAGTTGACCCTGATCAGTTTGTCGCTTAGAAACCGCAGAACTGGATGTTTCCAGAAAATGAACAGGAATCCATTCTTTAGAAGTACAACACTCCTGATAAGCCGGAGATAAAAAGGAGAAGAATCGCCTCAGCTAGACTTCGCCATTAGTCTTTTAAGTGTAAAATTTCCTCCAGAGCAAAAATGGTTCACTACGCTTTAATTGAATCCCAAATAAGATATGGAATACCATTTTGGGAAACCATTCTCTTTTCTGTGTTGATATTACAGAAAAAGGCAATAAAGTGTCTCTGTAAAGTCAAACCTAGGAAATCATGCAGAAATAATTTTGGGGCCAATAAGATTAATAAGGACTTGACAATTTTTTTTTGAATAAAACACAAACCATTTGAGATATTTCCAAAACTTTATGATCGACTTGAAATACAATTAAAATATTCATTAATGGAACTCGACTTCGTTCATATGGCCACCGCGGGCACGTCGGCAGTGGTCGATTCGTTGGACCCAATTTTCCATGACTCGCCCACACATTTTGGCCGTAACGGCCGCTATTTCGCGTTCAATGTTGGCTCTGAGTTTTTCCAACGTCGTCGGCTTGTTGGCATAGACCAATGATTTGACGTAGCCCCAAAGAAAAAAGTCTACCGGTGTTAAATCGCACGAACGAGGTGGCCAATTGACTGGTCCATTTCTGGAGATAACATGCTCACCAAACTTACTCTTCAATAAATCGATTGTAACGTGTGCTGCGTGGCTTGTGACACCGTCCTGTTGAAACCACATGTCGTCCAAGTCCATGTTCTCCAATTCGTCCCAAAAATAATCGGTAATCATGGCGCGATAACGATCGCCATTCACAGTAACGTGACGATCGTTATTGTCGACGAAAAAATATGGCCCAATGACGCCGCCGGCATGCAAACCGCACCAAACAGTTATTTTTTGTGGATGCAGTGGTGATTCATGAATCACATGTTGATTTTCACTAGAACAATAACGCATATTTTGCTTATTGACGAACCCATTGAGCCAAAAATGAGCTTCGTCATTGAAGATGATTTTGCGATGAAATTCATCATCTTGGCGCATCTTCTCCAGAGCCCATTCGGAGAACGTACGTCGCGTCAAGTGGTCCATCGGCTTCAATTCTTGAGTCAGTTTGATCTGATGGCTGTAAACCAAGATCTTTACGCAAAATTCGCCATAAAGTGGGCTTGGCGATGCCCCCAGTTGTTAAGAACGCCGCGGAATCGACTGATTTGGATTGTTTGCTACGGACGCCTGAACGGCAGCGATATTTTCGTGACTTCGACCAACTCGTTGTCTCACTGGCACGGCAGCATCACACAATGAATATGTAGACTCAAATTTTTGCACTAAACTTGTTATTGCTTGTCTACTAGGGCAAGCATAACGACCGAAAATTGGAGTCAACGCTCTTAAAGTTGCGGTCACTTACTCCGAATTTCGGTAGTGCATTTTTATAATTTGCATACGTTGTTCGTTCGTGTACTTTACCATGATGAAAATGTTGAGTTTACTGAAGCAAAGGAAAGTGACAGTTATATGATCAGTGAAATAGTGCGTTCACAAATTAAATTCAAAGTTGTCAAGTACCTATTGAAATTATAAGGTCTGCAAATCTGGCCAACGTACAATTTATGAAAGCAGTTAGAAATTTGCTAGCTGATAGACCCTATTATAGTCTACAAGAGTATTTTAATGAATCATTAAAAAAAGTGTATTCCATTTTATTTTATTGTATTTGTACTTGTTTTATTCAAACTGTGAAAATCGTTAGGTAGGAATACTCCAGATCTGGATCTAGATGTGATGAATTGAATTTTTCATCATCTAATGATGTTCTCTTATACTTAATTCCATTTTGATCCAACGAATTAATCCTTATTTCTTTTATTTTTCAGAAAGAATCGTTGTCAGATGTAAAACTCCATTTAGCTGCTTTGAATGGAGACTTGACGTTACTCAGGCGAATTTTGGACAGTGGAAAGGTTCACGTAGATTCAAGAGACAAGGTAAATTGATTACATGAAAAATATTTAAAAATTTCAATGAAGTGATAAGAAGTTCAGAATTCAGTAAAGCGGCCTACACACGTTACAATTTTTCGTACTGCATGTTGAACTGCAAATTGTAAATAAAATCGTACGACATGCAGTACAGCCATGTTTCATCCACACCTCAACACGTACTGCCGAAGTTTAGATTCCAATCTTTCAAAAGTCACGTCTAAAGGAAATTCTTATATTGTTTATTTTCTTTTTCATTACTTCTTGAGATTCGTTTGGGAACAAACTCTTTAAATTTTGTGAATAAAATATCGTAACTTGAATTTCTTTTTATTTTACATCCCACAGGCAACTGTTTTCTTTGTATACAGGAATAAACTCTTCCCAGAACGTCTTATTTTTCATATCCATTATAATGATATGAAATATATAAACCCCTTTTCCCTAAATGATTTGCTTTAAACGATATAAAATTGTAACTGCCACAGCAATAAGCTCCACACGTTCCAACTTGTCTACAACCCCACCCCAGACACGACCGTTGATACGATATTTTATGGAAGCTCCGTGCTGTGAACGATTCGACGACTGCATATTGCAAAACACCCAATTTGCCTACACACGTTATGATTTATCGTTACTGCGGCAGTACCGATGCATATCGTACTGCAAGCAGTACGAAAAATGGTAACGTGTGTAGGCCGTTTAAGAGGTACGGTGAGTCAGTCATCTTGATAAAGGATGATAAGTTTGTCATATGTCATGCTGCTGAGCAAGAGATTAGAGATATTATAATGCACATAGCATACAAACATTATCCGCACCAAAAGATAGCTGCAATGCAACATCCTAATTTTTCTCTAAATATAAGATTGCTGACTGGTAATTTCATTCATCTCGGTAGTAGTACTGGATATGCACGTCGTTCTGTAGAAGTTGGACGAGAAAATTCAATACCGAAATTTTCTACTCTGTTTGGATTTTTGTCTGATTCAATGACATGACAGATTGTCAACCTAATATACCTAATAATGATTAGGTTCTATGTAGTTCTATAAAATCTATTGTTTCTTCATTATCATCTTCGATACAAAAGTTTAAGGTAACGTTGTCAAAGTGACAAAGTACGGACTTCTGCTAATCATTGTTACTTTGAACATGATTGATCTAAGAGTTATGATTCACCAATCACAATTTCAATGGAGACACAATGTACCGGCCATTAGAGTTGAATCGAGAAACCTACTCTTCATAGACATCTCAATGACCTTCGAGTATGGACCTGTAAATTTAGCTCAGGAGCGAGAGCTGCGGCGTATGCAGAATCTGTCTCAGGTGGGAGAACTAACTCTCCATGAGCAGGTTAGCAAACGTCTGCGCTCAAGTGAGGTTTCACCAAAACCAGAGGCAAAAAAGCCCTGCACGTCTGAATCTAAGGCATCGTCAGGTGTAGCTGACGTGCAAAAACCCTCATATGGGAAGGTTGTCGTGGGTATCAAGGTGGGAATCTTGTAACTTGACTATCCGACTACCTCATTAACAGATCATATACTTTGTGCCTGCCCCGCTGGGGACCGAATCAGGTCTTTAGAGTTCGGCAGAGCCGAATTCTTACCATCTGACCCGAAAGACCACTCACCATACAAACTAATCGGCTTCGTTAAGAAGCTGGGTTTGTTTGGCCGAGTGAGAATAGGTGTGCCACAATAAACTCTTGCGGGTTGCGGTGGAGGGTCGAATAGACCCACTCACTTTGGACCTAACCTAACCTAACCTGAATCTAGCTAAGACTCTGGCCATTTCCTTCATGAGCTGATAGACCTGGAAATGAAAGCAGGGTTGTCTGGTAGAGCTATCGAATGGTCTACTCAATTCACATACTTGTGTCCCATTGATTTGCTTTGACACACTGGCAAGTCAAATAAGGAGCTGTTTGAATAGAAGGATAAGTAGATTAATCTCTTTCTCATCAAAATACCAAGTTGAGTCTGAAGAACAGGATGATAATTTTTAGAAATTGATATTTAAACCTTTAAGCTTGTATACTTTGGGAACCTGTTGTTGCATGAATAAATCCCCTGAAGACTTCAGGGAAGAGCATGGTTGACAAAACGAACATTTTTAAACCTTCTTCAAACCTCTCTGGAGTAACATTCCGATCTGGATACAACATCAATGGTTTAGAACAAGAACCATTGCTTTGTTTTTTATTTATATCATCGTTTTTATGTTATTAGAATTTTTGTTTGTGTTCTCCTAGGAGGTACCTTTGTTTTTCGTAGATTTTGATTGAGTCAGTGACAATTTTTTGTAAATCCTTTATAACAAACGACATTACGTTCGTAAACTATACTGAAAAAAATATTTTGTACTTACATATTTCTTGTCTAGGAATATTCCAATTTTCAAAATTCTATTTTCAATCGAAACCGGCTGTATATAAATTCGATTAATAATAATGGCCTAACAACTTTCCTCTATGAACTTTGGAATGCGATAATTGGCATAATAATTCATGTAAATTTCCAAGATGTCTTGATAATTTTGAATAACATTAACGAACGTACTTCCTTTTAGTAACAGAGTGTGAACAAATATTAAACAAACAATATGGTAGCATTTCTATTATAGTAGAAATTAAACTAAACACCAGACGGTGAAATCTGTTGAATACGTTAGTAAACAATAAATGAACACAGTCGTTGTTACAAGTAATATGAAAAGAATAAGGAATGCCAATGATTTCTGATAAAGTATCGAGCCAAAACTTTGGCAAGGAGTCACCACTTTGAATTTTTTCCCTGTATCTCTTGAACTCAACTAGGTGTTTAATCTACAATATGGTGAACATGTATACATCCTAATCAGTGGTAAATCAGTCCAATTCTAAGAGAGAGAAGGTTATATTTTCATGAACTGAAACAATTCATTTTGATTCAAATCTTGAGTTTGACACTTTTTTTCAATAACAAAAAATAATTAACTTCACGTGGAAAATGAGTAATGATCTTCAAGTTAATGAATAACATTTCAATTGGCGATTTCGTAAAGTAATATTTTGAAATGAATAGTCGTCATTGATAGCCTAACAAATGGTGCAAGTTGTTGAATTTTGACCAAAAAAAGTGTCGCATGAGCATCGCTCAGGAATTGTTGAATGACGATCCAGATTTGCTCAAAAGGATCATAACTGGTAACGAATCCAGGGTATTTGGTTATGACATCGAAACCAAAGTACAATCGTCCCAATGGAATAGCCCAGGAGAGCCAAGATCAAAAAAGCACGCCTAGTTATCTCAAATGGCAAGGTTTTGCTCACTTTTTTCTTCGATTACACTTGTTTCGTCATTCCATTTGGAAGGCACATCTTCACCGACAGCAGGAGGTTGCATATCTTAATGAGGATCTAGAAGTGATTTCGAATTGAGGTGAAAGTAACCAGGTTCAATTCAATGCCACAAAAACCCAGGCATCGGTTTTCTCAAAGAAGATAAAATGTCTCCGAACCCGATATAATAATGTCAGGTTAGACAATTCCGCTTTCTGCTTCGATAAGTTTGTTGGGGGTTAAAATGGATATCAATATGTCTTGGTATAATCATGTTGCTGAAATTGCAAAGGCTGCTTCTAAAAAGCTTGGAACACTATTCCGAACCAGGAAANTCCATGAGCAGGTTAGCAAACGTCTGCGCTCAAGTGAGGTTTCACCAAAACCAGAGGCGAAAAAGCCCTGCACGTCTGAATCTAAGGCATCGTCAGGTGTAGCTGACGTGCAAAAACCTTCATATGGGAAGGTTGTCGTGGGTATCAAGGTGGGAATCTTCTAACTTGACTATCCGACTACCTCATTAACAGATCATATACTTTGTGCCTGCCCCGCTGGGGACCGAATCAGGTCTTTAGAGTTTGGCAGAGCCGAATTCTTACCATCTGTTTTTTATTTATATCATCGTTTTTATGTTATTAGAATTTTTGTTTGTGTTCTCCTAGGAGGTACCTTTGTTTTTCGTAGATTTTGATTGAGTCAGTGACAATTTTTTGTAAATCCTTTATAACAAACGACATAACGTTCGTAAACTATACTGAAAAAAATATTTTCTACTTACATATTTCTTGTCTAGGAATATTCCAATTTTCAAAATTCTATTTTCAATCGAAACCGGCTGTATATAAATTCGATTAATAATAATGGCCTAACAACTTTCCTCTATGAACTTTGGAATGCGATAATTGGCATAATAATTCATGTAAATTTCCAAGATGTCTTGATAATTTTGAATAACATTAACGAACGTACTTCCTTTTAGTAACAGAGTGTGAACAAATATTAAACAAACAATATGGTAGCATTTCTATTATAGTAGAAATTAAACTAAACACCAGACGGTGAAATCTGTTGAATACGTTAGTAAACAATAAATGAACACAGTCGTTGTTACAAGTAAGATGAAAAGAATAAGGAATGCCAATGATTTCTGATAAAGCATCGAGCCAAAACTTTGGTAAGGAGTCACCACTTCGAATTTTTTCCCTGTATCTCTTGAACTCAACTAGGTGTTTAATCTACAATATGGTGAACATGTATACATCCTAATCAGTGGTAAATCAGTCCAATTCTAAGAGAGAGAAGGTTATATTTTCGTGAACTGAAACAAATCATTTTGGTTCAAATCTTGAGTTTGACACTTTTTTTCAATAACAAAAAATAATTAACTTCACGTGGAAAATGAGTAATGATCTTCAAGTTAATGAATAACATTTCAATTGGCGATTTCGTAAAGTAATATTTTGAAATGAATAGTCGTCATTGATAGCCTAACAAATGGTGCAAGTTGTTGAATTTTGACCAAAAAAAGTGTCGCATGAGCATCGCTCAGGAATTGTTGAATGACGATCCAGATTTGCTCAAAAGGATCATAACTGGTAACGAATCCAGGGTATTTGGTTATGACATCGAAACCAAAGTACAATCGTCCCAATGGAATAGCCCAGGAGAGCCAAGATCA